ATTTATTAAAAATTTTTGAATCTGGGAGGCTTGCAGTTAAATAAAGTGCTGAGGGAACTGCTGACCTAAGCGAAAACCAGTAGTAGTTAAAAGATGCTTGCAACAGTTTTACTATTAATTTATTCTGCATAAATATTTCCTTCATTTGTGAGTTTTATGAGTATGATATCCTATTTAACTGAAATTTATAACTTAAATGCGCATAATACGGACAAAGATTAGTTTTTCTGAATGCTTTATATCGATGAGGAATTTCTCATGAATCAGTCAGAAACGTGTATATAGAGATGCAAAGAAGAATTTTTGTAAACTGCAAAACGTAGTTTACTGTTTCGTAAGCCAAATATGAAAAGCAGACGAAACGAAGACGTAAAAAAATTACGATTTGAGAAATTAGCATCTAATAACTATCGTCTAATAAAGCGTCTGTTGGATCCATGTTACTTTGGATTAGTTCTGAGTCACTCTAAATAAATCACTTGGGAATTCAGAGTGATAAGAAAACGACTGAGATGACATATATGCTAAATTTTGTTAGAAGAATAAACAAATGTATATCTCAAAATTATTTAATTTTGGTCTCATTTATTTTTAATTAACAAATAGCAGGGGAGAAAGAAACGACATTTTAATGGTGATTTTTACAACCTGTAGAAGTATATAAAGATACTTTGGAATTTTAGACAAAAGTTTCAATCTGTGAATATCTATGACTAAACATTTATGGAAATACTTAGAAATTATTAAATCTTTTCGGAAATCTTGAAACTGGACTCACTGAAATACGAAAGGCTAAGTTTTCCTCATTAGTTTCTCTTAGGAATATGCTTTTAACGACCTGATTTCCACCTAAGGCTCAGTATTATGTAAATCTTGAAATCTTTATAGAGATTTGAAGGGAAGTTAAGCTGAGAAAAAAAAAAGAGACACAGTGTTGCTAGATTTTGTCTTCTATTGAGTTACAAGAAGTACGAATTTAATATAGCCAAACTGAAAATATCGAAGTTCAATATATGTTTCTAGGTTTAAGGAAATAAGAAAGGTCTTATTTTGTTTATCGCTGAAATAAATTTCGACAGATAAACAAAATAATTTTAAATTAATCGAAAGTTTGAAGAGAAAATAGCCTGCTAAATTCTTTTTAAAAATGCATTGAGAATATTTGCGTTGTAGCTTTCGATAAAGATAAATGACTATATTTTATGAAACTTTAATATTTTTTTCTGGCACTTTCGTAAGACTTCTTTTATAGCACTTCTTTCATGTCGCCTACCTTGCAATAATCGTAAAAAAGTGTCTGAAGTATAAATATGATGCCACCTCCAAAGGTCGTACAGCTGCAAAGAACTCTTATCACAGTTAAAGAAGAAGCAGTTGATTCGGATACTAAAAAGCGAGTAAGTAACCACACAATTTGATGCAAAACAGTGTATTTTGAATTAAGTTTTCAAATATGTTGTTATTATTGTACTTGGAGCCATAAAGAAATTTCGACATAGTTTAGAGGAAGCTTATCACACTTAAAAGTAAACAAAAATATTATAAAGCAAAATTTTTTCTGTCAGTGTCTCCTCGTATGATTTTTTTTGTATTTATCTAATAAGAAATGTAATATTTAGATTTTTTTAACGATTTAAGTTCGGTTTAGAAAATACATCAGATTTTAAGGTTCACAATACTTTATCACTACTTATGCCTTGCATACGTAATAAGTATATATTCGAAGCGAGGCAAAATACAAGGTTATATAGACGAAGGTTTTAGATAAACTCTGCACATTTGAGAGAGAGAAAGAAAGAAATTCTGTTTTTCAAAGAATAAAATTTAACAAAATGAGAAATTTTCGAATTTTTCTTTGAAAAAAAAAATTTATCCTACTCGAAATGGATTTTTGCTGATTTTAATGTGTTTTTGTCTCATGTAATACTTAACCGTCATTTTTCTATAAAAAATTTAGAAATGTCCCTAGTGATTATCTTAATACATATAGAAAGCAAATATCTAGGATAAAACTATTACTCACCTATATGTAAAACAAATTCTTTTCTTATCAGTTGCTTTATAATCTCATATATATGTGTAACATCTTAGAATATATATTATATATGCTCAATTTAAAATTATTTTGTGATATTGTTGAATCACAAAATATATTGATTGATATGTTGATTGCTGTTGAATTGAATTTTATGGTTTATTAAGGGCAAAGAACACGATATATAATAAATAAAGGTAACACACAGAACGTTAAAAAAAGTCCCTTTGGGCGTAATAAAAAGTCCGAAAGCTTTCAGATTTTTTTTTCGCAGAGTCCGGTTAATCCGTTTACGGATAATTAGTTGATTGAAACGAAAAAATAACGATCGTTCTTGGAGATGAAAATGGAGAACAATTTCCTTTGTTTCTGTTAATATACTTTTCTACACGAAACAGATTTTATGTCAAATTAATATAACTCAAAGAATTTTTCTTTTCTTAACAAAAGATTAATAATAAAAAATAGTATAAATAAAGATCTCATAATCATGAATGTATCTCCCCATATATATTTTATAAATTTTTAAATAATTTAATTAAATATACAAGTAAAGAAAAAAAATTTAATTAAATATTAGAAAAAAATTTCGACTGATGCGGTAAATTTCAATACTGAGAGAAGAAATTTCAGACTTATGCAATCGATGTCAATAATTTGATTACGAAAGATTTCTGATTGATTCGATAAATGTAAAAATATTGAACATTTGAACATATAAGCATTTGCATTTCAATGTTGTTTCCTTTTTATTAAGTTACAGTCAGCTGACGATTTCTGTATTTAAAGATTCAAGGTTACCGAAATCGTCCTAATATTAATAGTCAGAAAAAGAGATATTTTAGAGCATAATGTTTTGAATTTAACTTTGATTTCACTTTGGGAAGCTTAAGATTTTAACCCTACACTTATTTACTTAAAAATATTACTTAAAAATTAAAAATCATAATCGGCAGTAGTTTTAACAGAAGCAACTAATCAGCATTCAAATTCTGATACTAATAAATAATAACTTCAAAAAAAATTACAATTCTAAAATTAGAGAATATTGATAATACTGAAAACAGAAAGCTTGGAGACTCTTGTCATTGAAGGGAAATATATTATGTTTAATTAATAATACCCGCATTCAGGTTTTGATACTAATAAATGATAATTCGAAAAATATAACGATTTTGAAATCAATGAATCTTGATGATAGAGATAAAAATGGGATGCGGTCCATATCGAATAAGCATTGTGCTTAATTAATAATGTTCAGAAACATTTACGTGATAAAAGAAGGTACATTTAATTTAACAATTTTGATCTTGCTCTGGTTGTAGAGTAATGGTTCTAATCATATTCTATTTATTCTAATATGTTCAGAACATGATTAGTAGTCATTTGGTACAGCAATTAACTCAAGTATGTAATTTCGAGCCTTATCTGTAACGCATTATTTATGGTAAATATAAGCAACCATGTGACAATTATTCTTAAGTTTTACTGGCGGTGGTTAGATCTGATGTATCTTATCCCTCTTAGTTTATGTCAGAATATTCGCTCAGGCCAGAAAGTTATGCAGATTTAACCAAAAGGCTATTGCAGTGTTTGCCATGTTAAGGCATTTTTCCTATTGAGAAACAGTTCATGCTATGTTCGTGAACGGCTAAGATTAGTTAATCGCTTTACCAATGGCAAGTGCTTTAGATATGTTATAATCCACCAGGTGTTTTGTTTAAAACTAGAAGCTTCTTTTTAAAATATTGACATCTTAGCTATTGGGCAGTTAGAAATGTCTTGAAAAACTTTTAATACGTTAAATCATCGGTAGTTTTGGTTGTGTTTCGTGTTGTGTTTAGTTTGCGCAAAATTTCAGTTATAATCACAAAAAGAGGCTGAATATAAATAATAATCGGATTTTTAATTTGCTCTGTGATTTGTGTTGATAGTCAAATAGTTGTTACGGGAGCTAATATACCAGTTCATTAAAATAACTGTGTGCGCGTGTGTGTGTAACCATTTGTTTGAACAATCAACTAAGGTATTCCATTCTACAGAAGTTATAACCTAATTAATTTTTAATATGTATATATTGCTACTGGTTATTTTTTTACATTTATTCACTTGCATAGCTCAAAAATAATGAAAGAAAGAAAATCTTGTTTTTGAGGAAGAAATAGCGATAAAATTATTTAATGTGAATTATTATTTGAATTAGAAAAATACAATTATTAAGTAGACTTATATAATGGAAATTTTAAGTAATGTTTTTATTTTTGTATTTTTGTAAGGTCTTTTTTCGATTTAATATAAAGCAGTTGTTGAGATGGAAAAATAGTGAAGATCAAAGAAATCGGAATAAAGTTACGAAGTTTTTAATTTATGTTTAAGTAATGAATGGATGGAAAATCAGTTAGCTGAAATTCATTAAAAAAGTTTAATTTCAAATATATCTAATATTTACATGCGTCTAAATTATCTTTTCAGAAGGTGAGCTACTAAATTTACAATATTATTTATATATGCATACTTATGTATAACACATATAAAAGTCTCAGTTTAAGGACTGAATAGTAAGAAAAGTTTGACAAAGTTTTGTTCTAATTCTTAAGCTAAAAATTTTCTATTTAGACATTCGTGCATCTATATTTTTTTCAATAACAATTTAAGTGATTAAACGATCAAAATATAAGTGTGATTTTAGATATTTTTTTTCCTCAAGAGAATTCTTTTTCTTTTGATATTTTGAGAGATGCATACTGTTAGTAATAAGATGAGAACAATAATAGGATGTAAATAATAATAAGATGTGAATGATTCTTTCTATAAGTATGTCATTAATAATGATTGCTCTAATGTTTACTGATAGAGTTTTATTCGAATATTTTCTCGATTAAGAGAAAGGATACTAATATACAATGAAATTTTGGAAATTTTAAGTAATAAAAAATATGGCGTTAAAAATAAAAATTCTACTTACTAAAATTATCTTTACAGCATTATTTACAGCTTCAGGTCTTAAGTAAAAGTAAAACTTGCTGCCATCTTCATATATCTTATAAAATTTAGCTTCAAGGAACAACGCCAGTGTGACACTTTCTTTTCAGTTTTATTCTGAATTCAATCATCTGAAAATATTTTAGCAAATTATTATTAGAAGTCTAACTTAAGAAAGTTAGTCATTATTTTTCTAAATTAACATATTTGATATTTCTTATTAAACCTGATAGCAACGCTCCAATTTTTTACTGCAAGTTGCTGCATTGAACAAATGTTATTAACATTTACACCGAATTCGTATTAATATTTTTCAACAGATGTTAAACAGTGTTTATAAAGTTAATATAATTAAGAAAAGAAATTCCCAATTCCATATAATATATACCTGGATTACTACTTTTCTAATTCTACTACCTATATACACTACTATTTTCAACAAAATGAAATGTAGTAGTACTGGTAAAATTCAGTAGTTCAGTATATATTTCACAATAACCGATTGCATACATTTAAGTACAGTAAATTCTCCAGTAAAGATCTTCTATTTAAAACTACCTCTAGAAGTGACTGACGTTTCTGAACTCATAAATAAATTTGAGTATTAAACATCATCTCTTTAAAATGACCATTTTTACAGAACACCAAAATTATCCGAAACTTTGGGTGAATTTCATAGATAGGATCAGTATATTTAGTAATATTTTTAACTTTATTAAATCGGTAGTGTTTTTTGTTATAGAATTTTTATTAAAATGTTAATGTAATTATGTTAAAGGATTTTAATTTTTACTCTTCTACATTTTTACTTGAAAAATAAATAAAGAACAAGCACTCCAGCTTTGAAAATTGAAACCTTTGTGAATAGCGTTTTAATTTTATTTAATGGTAGAGCCTTGATTTTATCAAGTAACAAAAGTATTAAAATGTATTGTAACAATGAGAATTAGTATTATTATTTTCAAAAAGCTGCTGTGCAGCAAAATTAAATTGGGAGTAGTCTTTTTTTTAACAATAGATTACGAGAAGAGGCTTTTAAATTATATTGTGCTAAACAAATTATCAAAATATTAAATGACACTAATTTTTATTAGAAATGTCTGCGGTTTATAAAAACTGTAGAATCAGGGTTTACGATTATCCAAGTTAGCAACTGTCGATATTGTTGAGGATAGCTAACATTCTACTTCTTTTTAAGGAAGTATAATTTCATTGCGTACGTCTTTTAGAATATTTTTAAGCGTTTGTGGTAAGATGTTACGTTACAAGTAGGAAAATAAATTTCTAAATTTCTTTTTAAGTGTTCTATTTTTAGTAGCGGTCAGCTTTTTGTTTTATCCTCCTATCATACGAATTCACAACACCGTTTTTGATAAGATCTACAGCTTTAATACTGCAACATTTGAATAAGGGTCATTAAATGCTTATACAAAATATTACGCAATACTCTGATTCTTAATTTAAATCTAATTAAATTAATACCGAAGTATCTGTCAAATGTGCTAATTAAAGTGTAGATATATCCAGGTAACAAGAAAGTAGGGATAATCAATAAATGGTTTGTAAAATTATTTTGTACGGATCTGCAAGTGTACGGTTATAGTAAAAATTGAGCTCTTTAGGGATTTCAGATGAATTATATAGTGTACTGGCAAAACATTGGATTTAATTTAGATAATAATAAAATTTACATTCGTAAATTTTCACTTTATTAGATATTCACTTTTCCTTGTGTGAAAATTCCCCTGTATTTATTTTATAAAGGCATTCTTTCAAACAATATGATGAATATTAAGCGAAGTTAAAATATTATTAAATTCTTCACTTAAATTGTCCGCACATTAACGGAGTCTTATTGTAAAACAGTTTTCATTTCAGCTAATCTTCATTTCCCCCGTTGCTTCTTCTACCGGAGAATTTTAGGTCACTGCGTCAAGAAAATTTAATATCCTTCAACGATACTATATTTCTCCATAAATTATCCTGTGTTTCCTTCATTTATATTTTCAAATATTTGACATGATGCCCAATTTCAATAAGAGAAAATGCTATTACTTTGTCGTCGATATAATGCTACTTCTTTACGTTATCAGGAATCAGTATTTTTCAGCCATGAATTAGAGTTAAGGTTTTATGACATTCCAAGCTTGTAATGAGATACTTGATAAAATTAACTACACTAAAATAATTGAATTTCTGAAAAAATTTTCGTCTTCCCAAGCGGGCCCACCAGCAGCCGAGCGGTAAAGTCGCTGAACACTGGTAGTTCGGTCCGAGGTTCGAATCCCGCGAACGGGCTGGCTGCATGGGCGTTTTCGTGGTTTTCCCCATGTGTAACGTATATACGAGCCAGTCTCCCTTAGAAAGTCCTCCACGAAGGCATCCCTCCCCTTAGGCAGATAGCCCTCGAGGCTTTGCCATGATCACAGACACACACACACACGTCTTCCCAAGCGCTTGTCAAAAAGAATTTTTAATAAGCGATTCATGCCCATTCCGTAAACATATATATCTGCCCGCCGATAACTAGAAGTTCAATATAGTTGACAAGTATTTAAATGAGGTTAAGTAGAGAAGGACTACTTTCTTCACTAGCTCAGTTTCTTCAAACAATAAGTTAGTGATTATTTGACAAGATGTTTTATGTTATTACTGAGGCTTTGTATAACGAATGCAATACATTCCAGAAGGATATTGATTCTGCAAATCATTTGTTATATGGGACTCTGTTTCCCGTAATTTTATTCGCTGTCAAGCCCCGTCCAAATTTTTAGATCATCATAAGCAGATTTCGGACTTAAAAATGTCACCAATATTAGAAGCGTTAAAAATTTACTTACTTACTATTTCTACACACAATTACGTAGACCACTTCTAGTCTTCTGTCAGAAGTGGAAGATATTTTCCATCTCGCATATTTATCTGTTTTTGGTTTTGGGGGAATTTTTAGTGCCAAAGAATGTCCAAAATATTCAGTTCTCACGCTGCTTATTACATACATACAGTCTCATAGTTTTCCAGATTAGAATGATATATTCCTAGTCGTCCATTAGAGGTAGAAGACAATTATCTTTCTTTCACATAAACCTGCTTTTGCTTTTTTGGGGGACACTGCAGTTACAAGAAAGTGTTTAATTCTTTAATTTCTCCCTCTTCTCATCAGCATGGTTACCAGTAGTGCTGCTTGGCAGAGGCTAGAATTTCTCTCACTTGTTCAGAGGATTATTCATGACTGAAGCAGTCAGAAACCCTTTGTGTCTGCCTGAAGAGACTTCTTTCCAGGCTTATTCACAGTCCTCTTCAAACAAGGTTTGAAATTCTTCTATAGTAATGTAACGTTAAGTACAATGTAAGTATCTATAGTAATGTAATGTATTTACTTGGCCGTTACTTTGCACTGTGCCTGTTCTTATGTATTGATGCATTTTATATCCACTTGTGAGATATTTCCTAATCATTTATGCTCTGATGCATTTACGCGCTAACTGAACAAGATTCAACAAAATTTAATTATGGTTTTAGTGTATTCCTAGTGTGGGACAATATTCGCGTGTGGTTCGTAATATGGAACTATAGTAAAGGTTTCGGGTGTGTATTCATACGGTATGCGAGATGCCCAATTTATTTCAATAAATCATTACACCAAGAATATGTTTATATAACTGGTTTTATTGATGACATATTTTTTATTTAATTAAAATACCTAATGAAAAAGTACTTTGTTGAACAATACCGTAGAAATTCTGAAACAAATACTAGAAAAAGAAGCTTTTTAGTAAATTTCTGTGAGATTTTTAACTTAATAAATATGACTCCACATATATTCTTGATCTGGAATACTATCTAGGATGCATTCCCTCTTCTTTTATGTATGAAGCTTGTGCTCTTTAAGTTCTAGATACTTATATAAAAAAGGAAGCTTTTTTGCTTTTTTTACTTTTTATTAAAAATTAGAAAATTCGTTAGCAAATGAGTTAGACTATATTTTTCCTTAAAGCATTTAGGCTTTTTTAGTGCTAAGCTCAAAACATCATATTACTGTAGTAACCTAGCAGTTTTACCGAATTTTCAAATTTGAAATTTACGACAAAAATTTTGCACATTCGATAATAACTTTCGTAGTAAAAGAACTGGCAGACAAAAATTCCTTTTTAGATTAGAGGAAAATTTATGTTTGATATTTAAGTTGATGCAGCCCCTTCCTTGCTAAGAGGAATCGTGTTTTCTAAAAAACAAATTTTTCTTAAAAAAAATTGATTTAAATTGTCCTGTCGTGAGTACTTTTTCTTATTTAATCTTTATTTGATACCCGTGACTAAATGTATTTTACCGCATGAAAAATTGCATAATTTCTGCAATTCCTCTTGTCTGCATTGCAGATAAATGCGTTGTTTTTACCTCGCCGATGGTTCAAATTGTAGTATCTTATCAAAAAAAGGAACAGTGTGAGAAATTCCATTTATTATGTTTTGTCTGCATACATGAATAACCTGAGATAATATACTTTTATCACTATGTATAGAGCCTTATGAGGATATCGTTCTCATATCAAAGAAACCGCATTGTAATCTGAGTCATTTCTGTTTTGTGTTGGATAACAACGCTTCGTATCTGCATAATTTTATTGGATCTTTAGCAAGCATCCCCTATTTTTTTTCTTTTTAGATTATATTAACTGTATATAACAGGTCATCTTTTATTTTTATTCTTAGACTTCATAAGAAGTTTTATCCCTTTAAATAAGAAAGGATATTCCTTCATCAATAGTCTTTAAATAATATAGTGATGGAAGGGTTAAAGAATATTTTCAGTCCTTTTTCGCCTAATATACTCATTAGTGCAACGGACGTTAATTTTAAGGAGAACTAAAGGCTATCATTTCCATTTTAATTTTAATATTATATTAATTAGATCAATTTTTTTATTGTTTAAGTTATATTAAAATATTAATCATTGAATAACTTAAAAAAACAATGCATATGATGTGTCTTAAAAACTTAATTTTAAAAATTCAATCTTATATTTGTTATACAGTAAAACAAAATAAAAAAATCACTTACAACGCGATATTAAAAGTTAAAATGATGAGATACTAAATTTTAACGCAAATAATATTCCGGAAGAAAAAGTGTCATTTGTATTAGTATTCCTGAGGATTAACACAGAAAAGATAATAGCACAGTTAGCAGAAAGAAAGTATATGATATATGCCGTTTAAATTATTTTCTGTCCAACTGTGTAAGTACAGGAAATTAGAAACGAAATGCTATATGATTTTAACAGTACAAGGTTACGAAAAGTTAATAACTGTTTAGCTGGTTCGACTGCTTGAGTGTTGCTCAAATTACACTGAGATTGAATTACACTTTTCTTTCTTTTCTAAAAATATCAAAGTTTACCTACGTGTTGGAAAGCATAATCGAATAATGTAGTATATGAATAGCTAATAGCTCATGATCGACGCTAAAGATTTAAAAGAATTTTTCCGTGACTCACTCGAGAGGATTCTTAGGTAGATTCGCTCACAAACGGTCGAACGGTAAATATCGTTACACAGTGGTAGTTCGACTAGAGCGCAAGTTCCGTTTAATGGGCTGGCTGCATGGGAATTTTGGTACTTTCCCTTTGCGTAACGTGAATACTGGCTTATTCCATTTCTATATTAAGTATCATTTCTATACGAGAGCTCCTCGCTATATAAACAGTTACTGAAGGTAACTGTTTAACTGAAGTTACTGAAGGGAACTCCAGTAACTGAAGGGAGCTCCTACCTGAACTGAATCGATTACTTTCAGATTAAGAAATAAGTTCATTTGCCCTTAGTAAAATAGAATATATTAGTTGTTAGTTCCTAAAGTAAAGAACGTCGCACTAATTTGTTTGAACTTTCTGTATATGCATATAATACTCGTTTAACGCGTATGAAAAAAGGTATATTTAATTATGTGGTATTGTAATATACACATTATTCGTAGAAATAATTCGTGAATGTGTAGCAATATTTGTAAGTTTTACTTTCTCTTAGCAAAATACATGTTCATTACAGTTTCATTTTTAAGAAGTCTATTTTCTCTTACTCTGTGATTTTTATTTTATTTTATTTTATTTTTTTTATTATAAATTCTTACATTCATAGAACTAGATTACGTATTAATAAAAGTCATTTAAACTAAATTTTTGGTTATTTTGTCATTAAAAATCACATAATAAATGAGACATCTCTGTAGATTTATAATAAGAAACCCGAAGAGAGTTATTAATTATGGCACTGAATATTGTTGTTCAGGATGAAAAAATTAATACCCTAAAATACGAACCTCAGAATCTAGTGAGAGAATAAACATTTTAGAAGTCTAAGAAATATTTGAATCGTAAATTGTACTGAAATTTACATGTTTTTCAAAGATAGTATGTTTAAAAAGCATCCTTCTTCAATAATTTAAAAATTACTCATCTAATTGTTAAGGAGGCCATCTGACGTGTAGAAACTTTAGAAATGTTATGGAATAGGAATTGCCCTTTGCTTTTATTTTGTAAATTCCTTTTATTTTTCCAGCGATCAGCGTATTTAGATAAATGTTTAAATCTTCAAGAACTACCAATAGATTTCTACGTGTTTCGCTTGCTTGGTAGCTGCATGTACTGTAAACAAAAATAATAATTTATTAAATGCTGTAAAAATTAATCCAGTTTTCTAATGCTTAAACCTTAAAATTTAATTTTAAATTTCAGTGGTAAATCAGTCGTGTAATTCTTATTTTAATAAATATTCAAGACACCTAAGTTACAGATTTTGAACTAGATTATACAGAGTTTACACATTTTTAGAACGATTTCGGGGCAGTTTAATTAATGTTTAAAATGTAAAGGAAGTTTTTCGAAATGTTTGATCTGATAGCTCTTTTTGTGTCAAATTGTGTAAATACTCTGTGTACATAAAAGATGAATTATACTCTTGTGAAAGGTAGAAAATTATGTAAATTATTCCATTCTCATTTTTAATGGAAAAAATGTTTTCTATTTTAAATTTCAGTTCTAGATGATACAGTTAAGGACTTGTTATTTATGCATGAAACTTATTTTAATCTTCAGAAATTTCTTATAAAAGATAAAACTAAAATAGGCGCTCATTTTTATCAGTAAATGAGACTAACAGAATACAGATGTATTTAAAGGAAATGTACTTCAATGAGAAGTTTCGTTGATAAGACCTTAAAACCTCAATTTATAGAAAAAAACCGGCAATTTAATTTACAAAGATCTGAGACTCACAGAAGAAATTAAATGCCTTTAATGAATATCTGAGCTTACTTTTGAATTTATTAGAAATTTATGTACAAGTAATGCATTACATTGAATGAAAAAAGTTGTTCTAGAAATTCGTATTAAAAAATAAAAAATTTTTTAAATGAATTGTTGAATGCAATGTTGCATTATATACTAACTGCAAACTTAACGTGACATTTTTAGAAGTTAACTAAGATTCATAATATTAATTAATGGCGAAAACTAATTTAATTTAATTCAGTAAAATACATTTGTTAATACAATAAAAAAGGTAAATTTTTCCTACTATTTTTCATATAGAAATCATAGTTCTTATATGAATCAGATATGTTAGAAGCCTCTATGATTTAAAAATCCAAAAAAAAAAAAAAAAAAAAATTACATGTGATAAATTAAAAGGGATGAAATTTTCCCATACGTATAATTTTATTTCATAAATTAACTTTTGTGAAAAATATATAAATATATGGCAAATGAACAAAAGTAGATGATACAGTTATAAACGTTCTATCTGTAATTGTAAATATGAAAAATATTTATAATTCTGAATCGTGCGAGGTCCGAGATACTCAGTAGGAAAATGAAACAATCATTTTAACTAACTTGGAAATAACAAGGGCATATACCTGAGTTCCACAGAAAGAGCTTTTTTTTTCCTCAAAATGTTGCAAATATTCTAATTGTAAATGTCTATAATTATAAAAAAAAAAACATGAAATTTATTGAGAAAGTTAGGAATTTCGAATTTGTAAAAGCTAACAGGAATAACTGGACTCTATCTAGTTATTCCTTTTAATAACTGGAGCGTTCTTTCATTAAAATTTGAAGTTCCACTATGAGAAAGTTGAAGTGATATAATAGTACATTCTGTGATACGGCCTCAAGTACATTGAGATTTCCTCTAATTTAATTTTGCAAATTTATTACATCCCCCGAGATTGCCTGAAATGCTTCTGCATTTTAAACCTCCAGTCTTTATGCTCTATTTCATATAGGAAAAGTAGTAAGAATTTCCAGTACAACTTTTTGTGTAAAATTCAAGCTTTTGAGATTTATGACTGCGAGTGGCTCCAAAGATGAAATTACATATGCAGATAAGGCGGAACTTAAAAATTCCTAGTTAGAACCTCTCTTCAGCATCAGATGCGTGGTTGGAAAGGAATCCCGTTAATGGTAGCTAAGTGATGCTGGAGAGTGGAGATCAACCAATCGGAGAGCAGACAGAGCTGAATTTTACGACGAGGCATCATAGAAATCCCGCCCTCCCGGTCATCGTAAATGTTCCCGACTAAACACATAAATCAGCCAACTTTGTGAAAGTTGTTCGACTTTGGGCATGGGGGGAAGACGGCGTCACGTAATTCAAAACCACAAACTAAAGAAGAGACCTGGGGAGGGCCGGAATCCTGGAAGCGAGAATACCGTTACCTATCCTTAAATAAATCAAAGGAACGCTGGTACACGATAAGCTCCTTCAGGATTCCCAAGATTCCTTTAAAGTTCTTTTTTTTACTCTGTGCAAATTTACGACCTTCTTCGCTTGCAGTTCTGTTTGTTCGCGATACTTGCCGCTAATTGTCTGGCATCCTGGACAAAGCCAGGCATCAAACAAATCCAACGAGTTCTCCAAGATTAAAAACACCTGTACAGTGGTATTAAGTTTCTAGGTTAAGGGAGAGTAAGGAAATATTCCCGAGATACTTCCTTCTCAACAATAAGTTCAAGACATTGCTTAGAAACATGCAGTTAGATCGATGCTTTTTGAAATTTCTGAAGCAAATCATTCGAATAGCATAATGTATAAATTCAAGAGTTTCATGCATTGAATGATTTATCTGTCATGAACACTAGAAATAAAAAATTTGGAATTTATAAAAGGTAATATATTTTTAACGATAAATTTAGTTTTTGTAAAGATTTAGAGAAGTAATAATTATAAGAAATCACTAATGCATTGTAAATTCTAGGGCAATATCTTAAAACAGGGGTCTCGAACTTAAACTGTATGTGGGTCGAATGCACGATCTGCAAGCAGCTGACAAGCTGGATTTTGTTTTAACAAAATAGGAGGGAACATATATCTGTGCATACTTACACGATAATGCACCGTATGAGTAGAAACAAGCAAATCTCAAACGTTATGCACAATTCCAAACAATAGATGCTTATGTAGTGCAGATCCAACCACAAGCACAAATAAGCAGATTTTATAGGCCATATATTAGTTTATCTGTGTGGCAATGTAAGATGCGCAGTTCTGTTTCCAACTCACCAATTAGTGGCCGATATGAAGAAAAGTATATTTTGGAAGTACCAGTTAAGCAGAAAATCCGGAAACGCCCAAAATACTGAACGGCCATCAATTGCCGATTGGCGGATTAAATATATTGATTGGATTAAGTTTACTGATTGCGATGTGGGAAGTTCTTCCACAATTCCCCAGTAACATGCCCTGATATGCAAACACAAGACAAATCTCCAAGTTATTCATTCTATCCCTTTTTCCTTCACTTGCGATTCATGTTTCGATGTCTCTAAAAACCGAACACTGTATTTACAGCAAATACATAATCAAAATGGGTAAAACTGGCCGTGTGAAACTGCTTTGACGTCCGGATGCGTCCTGTTGACCACCAGTTTGAGACGACTGTCTTAAAGCACAAAATAAAGCGTTTCGTTGAAAGAGATTCAGTTTTATCAGCATATGCAATTTATATATGGAAATAACCATTGCTAGCTTTAAATTCAGAATTTAAAAAGAAAATTAACTTTACACTTACCTTAACATTTGGGGAAAACTGTACGGATCTCAAGGGAGATTGTAAAGAGACCCACTTTCTTCAAAATTCGAAAGTGTGAATTACCTTCACTCCAGCGGAAACTTTTTCCTTTATTCATCCTTCTTTTTAACTGTCCATTGCTCTGTAATCCAACTTCCAGTGAGACATCCTACGGACAAAGTAAGGAAAAAAATTCATAATTGAAAAAAGGTCATATTCTTTGTCACTAAGTTTAGAACAAAAAGCTAAAATATTCTTTTCAAACAATCAGTATTATAATGTCAAATAAAATTCCCCAGAAAAAATTTTCCATTACAAACCACTGTTCGAACTCATAATCAAATAACGTGTTTAAGAATAATTTACCAACTGGTTTTAGGAACCTCATGCGCCCGTAGATAAAGTTTTAAAGGAAATTCTTTCTTTTACAAATATAAAAAATGAACTCATTTTTAAACGTTGCGAGAGAGTTATGTGTCAAGACACCTCTTCATATTGTGGTTGGAGATGGTTTTGCAATCTGCTTGAATATTAAATTTGGTGTCCGCCGAAAGCATGGCAGACAAAACTGTCGCCGAGAAAACAACGCAAGATAAGAACGGCAATGGGAGAAAAGAAATCAAGGGGTAAAAAAAAAACCTCAGTTCTAAAACAACTTGGTATGAAAACATTGTTGTTGAAAATAAAGCGGTTAAAAAATTGCAACTTTAAAATATCGTCGTAGAAAACATCGGGATGTAAAATAAAGCACTAATAAATCATCGCAGGACGAAAACATCGTACACACCTGTTCTTCAGGATTTAAAAGTCATAAATGCATATTTGCACAATGACATTTGAGCGCAGGAAGGAATGAGAAATATTTTTACTTCTGTATTTCATATTTTTGAATTAACTATAAAATTTTTTTTGAAAATGAAAGAAGGAAACTTAAGCATTCAGAACCTGAAAATGAGCAGAAAATTAATGCTGCGTAAAGCAGTTAACATAATTTTAAATTTATATATTTAAATATTAAATGTTATTCCTTAATTAATACCTTTTATAAAGTTTTATTGGAGTTTTTTATGAAAAATCTGACGTGGACATCACATGACTTCCTTGTACGGCACATTAAATAATTATGTATTAATAAAAGGCAGTTGAAATAGGCCTACCAGCGGCCGAGCGGTAAAATCGCTGAACAGTTCGGTCCGAGGTTCGAATCCCGCGAACGTGCTGGCTGCACGGGCGTTTTCGTGGTTTTCCCCATGTGTAACGTGTATACGAGCCAGTTTCCCTTAGAAAGTCCTCCACGAAGGCATCCCTCCCCTTAGGCAGATAGCACTAGTGTGCTTTACCGTATTCTCAATACACCACACCACCATTTGAAATAGGATAGCCAATTTTAGCAAAGATTTACACATTTTTTAAATTAGATGTATTAAAAATGAAGTGAAGTAGATATGCTAAAGTTTATAGGTAAAAATAAAAATTAAAATACAAAGAATGTAATATTATTAAGAAGTGGGTGCTTTCATTTAGTTAAGAAATGTGCAATTTTGATTTGAAAGATAAATAAGAGATTCTGTAGAATGCCAAATGGTAACATCTCTCAGAACTATCCGATTACCACCTTGCATGCAAGATTAATAAAAGATTCAATACGGCTTGTTAAATGGAAACATTTTGCTGGGTAGCGAGGATAATAAATACCCTGGTAGCTTAGCATAACACAATAGAAAACCACAGATAGTTCTAACGTCAATAGAGAGAAAGAGAAAACTCTTACTCCCAAACCAAACATCTTTTCAGAATTGCTACTTCTTTCTTCTTCTTTTTTTTTTATTTATGTGTTTATTTTTTAAATTTTTTATTATTTACTTTTAAGAATTATTTCTTTATAAAACTTTCTCAAATTTAAGCTTTTACTTCCTAAACACTGAAACATATGACAAAACAAAAGTTTAAAACACTGTTAACTAACCGAAGTTTCTAGAAATATCCCATCCGAGAAAAATGTTGTCGGAGATGTCTGCTTTGGAGTGGTGCAACAACAGATTTCACAAGCAAGTCGAACAGAAGTAGGTTTTACCAAGAATGCTTATTTTAATAAGTTACTTCAGACGAAAACACTCACAAAAATGTCTGGACGTACAGTAAGCATCTGCTACACCGTAAGAAATTTTAGCGGAGAATTTTATTTTAAGGGTGTCAGGTTATATACTCATGCTCGTCATACTTGTAGAAGAGAAACAGATATACTAATGAATGCTCTATATATAAAAATTATAAAGACGTTGGTTATGGATGTGTGATTAAAATGTGAACGTTGGTATGAAACAGACGAAACATTTTATCGATTTTGAGAGAAACTGCGATGTCGAAATATTGTTGGATACTTTGTAAAATAACATTCCAGGCTTGTAAACTAAAAACCATAACAAAAATGAAGGTTGAAAGTGAAACCGTAAGTAGGTAAAAATGGTATATAAGGAATTTTATATGAAAAATTAAAAATCGGGCACTTACGTTTGTAAGGATACTAAGTTTTACTAACGTTTATTTAATTTTAAAACTGTACTATCACTTCTTATTTTCTACTTCCGGCCAGAATTAAATGCTTTAACTTGTTTATGCAAATTGTCTTGCTAAGGCCCAAGTACTTAAGTTGAGGCTTTTTGCCAAGCGGAGAGAGAAGAAGTTTTAGAAAGCAAGCCGCTTGCCACTGCAGTTTTACGAGTTTTCACTCGGTTGCTGGTTGCCTTTAAGGCCAGAGATTTAGCCCTCTTGATATTTGCAAACGTATTGTAGTTTCAGCAGCTCGGCGTACTACATACGTACCCCTTTTAAATAAAGGCCAGTCTTAGTGCTAGGCATTTGTATACTAATTCAAAGTGAGCTTTTAGTTATAGTTAGTAGTTTTATATTCTTACATTCAGGCCACAAGTGGTTGGTCTCTGTGTTCCGAAGTTTGGAAGTACTTGTAAAGTATTTAAAATAGAGGGTTTCGTATACCCTTCCTGCTTGTGTTGTCTACTTCACACCTTCTTGAACATAGCTTGAGTAAGCTCACTGTTCCTATTCAGGATCATTCATGCTTCCAAAGCAAATGAAGAGAAACGCAAGTCCTGACACGATTAACATTAAACAGTAATTTAAATTTTCTATACCGATATTTAGTAGAGGGAGAAATAGTAATAAAAATGTTACATATATCCCTATTAGAGAAAAATAAACTTAAATGGAAAATAAAATTGTGAAAATCAGAATGTATTCAAAGAGACAGTCAAATATTTTAATTATTCTTATCATTATGCGCCATAGGACAACTTACAATCCAGGACTCCTACACCTCAACTCTACTGAATGCTTAGAAAGCATTTCTTATAAATAAGTAAGGGAAAAAATTTAATTTATTGATGAAAATATTTATATTACTATTAACTTAATTTTTAAATCTCATGTTTCTTGCGAGTGAGTTTTATCTATGCATTTTAATTTCATTTGCTCCATCTTCGATAAACGAAAAACCATAAGTGATAACGTACTGAGAAATATGCAGACTTTTTAAAAACAAATGTGATCACCAAAACTTTATCGAAATCTGCTGGAACCAATTCCGTTTCGAAACAAAAACTTTTACTAATTCAGTGAAGTAAGTGCTAAGGATTCATCCGGCACGCCAGAAGCGGTCGAACGGTAAAGTAGCTGAACAATTTTAATTCGATCCGGGTTTTGAATCCTGACCAACGCGATGGTTGTATGGGCAATGTGTATGCAAGTCAGCTTCCTTAGAAAGCACTCTACGAAATCCCTCCCCCTCCATCCGCTTAGCCAGATAGCTCTCGAGTGCTTTGCATTAACCAAATAAACCAACACATGTAGCATTTCTGACCATTTTTGACCATTTGAAGGACGAAGATGCGAAAAATTTAGATGAATGTAAAATAATTATCTTAGGCAACATTTGCATTGTTAGAAAATATTCTTCAATTTGTGGGTTTCATAATTCATGAACATGAGTTTATTACGCATTAATCAAGCTATGAAAATAATTAAAAAAACTTAACAATATAACCGAAACAAGGAGTTTTGAATTTTTTGCTGTCTTTGAGTTTGTTAATTAAAAATTCGTTAAAGTTTTACAAAATATGAAATAAATAATAGAACAAATTCCAAATCCCAAATTTGGGCTTCCAAATTCCTATATTCAAGTGGAGGACTACGTTATTAAAAATTTGATGTGTTTAGGTACCTTTGTTTTTTACCGCTTGTTTCAGTGCGAGAAACATTCATGCAGATTCTTCATTATTTAATTTTTTTAAATATAATACAGAGCGATAATATTTGGTAGCAGCATTTTGAAAAGTGATTCAGCCTTTTGGAGTGATTCAACGCAAAATGTCGTTTCGATGCTAAGAGCCCTTCTGAGCTAATAATAATCCTTTCTGCTAATAATAATAATAATAATAATAATAATACAATAAATACCTGTTAATCTGCTAAAGATTGTTTTTCTTATATTCCTTGCAGTATTTCCCGTCCCTTTTTATTTTATAAAAAAGCGATTTTACGCCTAATTCTACAAAGTTTTCTGCAATCACTTCTTCTAGTTACCAAATTGATATACAAAGAGAAAATATTCTATAAAATCATGAAGTTTCGATGAATGAAATTTAAGAAATAACACTTTATGAATGAAATTTAAATAACATTTTTTCGATGAATGAAATTTAAGAAATAGCACAAAATTTAAGAAATAATTTAAGATATACATTAAGATGTTAATTATTAATTGCGCAATGAAAATTCATTTCTGTTGCATTATTTTTGAAATTTTTAGCTGAATAATTTACTAAATTTAAAACAGCGTCATTAATGATGCTTTAAGCGTTATGCATTGTAAGGATCCTAAGTTTTACTAATCAACTTTGATTTTATTTTAAAACTGTACTATCACTATCACTTCTTATTTTCTACTTCCGGCCAGAATTAAATGCTTTAACTTGTTTATGAAAATTGTCTTGCTAACGCCCAAGTATTTAAGTTGGGGCTTTTTGCCAAGAAAGAGAGAGAAGAAGTTTTAGGAAGCAAGCCGCTTGCCACTGCAGTTTTAAGTTTTCACTCGGTTGCTGGTTGCCTTTAAGGCCAGAGGTTTAGCCCTCTTGATATTTGCAAACGT